ACTCGTGAACCGAAAACAATAAAATAGTGATAAGTATAAATATCGTTTTATCAATATTAATCACTCTCCATTCAATTTTCTAACCCACTTACCCACACAAATCTGCATAATGAAACACAAAGAAGAAACTTACCACTGTGTTATGACATATACTATAGGGAGAGCAGCCCCCATTGTTAACAAGGCACTCGTCCACGTCTTGGCACTGGAACCCATCGCCGGTGTAACCTTTAAGAAAAACGAAAAACGTGCTCTAAACACGATACAAGGGTGTCGTGAAATCGCTTTAGATCCACAGGGTTGGCATTTTGAATCTTGTTTGGTGTTGAAATCGATTTCTCATCCTTATAGTTTTTATTTATTTATTTATTTATTTATCTTTTCTTTCTTTTTTCTCTATTCGTGGGGTGATTTTTTGTTATACTTTGTGTTAAATTTCGAAATTTCTTAAAAGTCAGTTTTCTTTTTTAAATCATTATTGTATCGTATCTAATGCGTTTACTGCTGTTGTGTGTGTGTGTGTTTTTTTTTTTTTTTTTTTTTATCTTATATATGATTTTTTATTTTCTCATTTATTCATTCATTCATTACATGAAATTCAAGTTAGTCAAGAAAACTAAGATAGAAATTTTCTAGCTTACGAAATCAAGGAAGGGAATAGGAATGATTCAAAATCACCCACTACAACTACAACACTAACAACACCCCCTCCGCCACCAACAACAACAGCAGCACGAACACGCACCTCACCTACAACACCACCACCACCAACAATGACAACACCGCCTCCACCACCACGAACAACAACAGCACCACCTCCACCACCAACAACAACAGCATAATCAACACCACCACCACCAATAACAAAAACATCACCTCCACCAACTACAGCAATAACACCTTCACTACCACCACCAATACATCCACCATCACCAACAACAACAATAACACCACGAACAACAGCACCACCTCCACCACAAACACCGCCACCAACAACAGCACAAACACCACAACAACGCCACTCCAACCACACAACAATACGCCACTCAACCACCACTAACATCAACCACCTACACCAAACCAACATCATCACACCAACCACCACCAACATCACCTACACGCACCAACAACAATAGCGCCACCTCCACCACCAACAAGCCACCGTCCACCAACAGCGCCACCTCCACCAAATAACAACAGCGCACACCATCCACCACCAACAACAGCGCCACCTCCACCAACCACCACAACAGCGCCACCTCCATCACACAACCAACAACAGCGCCACCTCCATCACCACCAACAAGCGCCACCCCCACCCCCAACAAAGCCACCTCCATCACCACCAACAACAGCGCCACCTCCACCCTACAACAACAGAGCCAACGCATCACCATCAGCAGCGCCAACACACCACAACAACAGCGCCACCTCCCAGCCACCCAACAAACAGCGCCACCTCCACCACCAACAACAGCGCCACCTCCACCACCAACAACAACAGCGCCACATCGCACCACCAAACAACAGCGCCACCTCCACCACCAACAACAACAGCGCCACCTCCACCACCAACAACAGCGCCACCTCCACCAATCAACACACGCGCACCTTCCAGCAACAAGCAACAACAGCGCCAACCTTCCACAATCAACTAACGCCACCTTCCACCACCAACAACAACAGCGCCACTCCACCACCGGAACAACAACAGGCGCCATCCTCCATTCCACCAACAACAACAGCGCCACCGCTCACCCACAACAAACAGCGCCACCTCCACCACCACCACCAACAGCGCCAGCCTCGACCACTCAACAGACACAGCGGCACCTCCACGCAAGTAACAAACAGCGCACCGTCCAACCAATAACAACAAGCGCCAACCCACACACAATAACAAGCAGCCACCTCCACCAATAACAACAGCGCCACACGGTGTGATATACCTTATGCTGATGGCCGCTCCAGCCAGACACCAACAACTAGCGCACAGCCTCCACCAACAACCAACAACAGCGCCACCGGTTCCAACAACACCACACAGCGCCAAACCTCCAGCCAACCACCAAACAACAGCGCACCTCCACCAACAGACCAACAACGCGCCACCTCCACCAACACAACACAGCGCCATCTCCAAACCAACAATAGCGCCACCTCCATCACCACCAACAACAGCGCCACCTCCACCAACAACAACGCGCCACCTCCACGCCAACAACAACAGCGCCACCTCCACAACAACAACATCGCGCCACCTCCACCAAACAATAGCGCCACCGTCCACCACAACAACCAGCGCCACCATCCACCACCAACAAGCGCCAGAGAATCTCCACCAGCGTACTATTCGCGGCAGGATTATTATGTCGCACACGCACATCACGCACTGCGCACGCCGATAACGCTACAATAATCTAGCGGATTATTCAAGTACTAACCTGACTGGGAGAGACCGGCCGCTAATATAGGAAGGTTTGCCCGGCAGAAAAGTGAAGAGGCAGGGGTTGGTACATGTCGGAGCATGTGAAGGAATCGCAACGATAGCCACAAATCATCCGTCTGGAGCGGCGTGAGGTAATATACAGGAAATTAACCACACATCTCTGCATTTCTTCCTGGCTGGTCGCTATTTCGCGCCCCCATTCGCACCAACAACTCCGCTCTCCGGGTGAGGAGCACCACCACTGAGCCTATCTGCCATCCAGCGCACGAGGCTACATCGACGACTTCTCCGCACAGCGAGCGCGGTTAGTTGAGGAATTTCGAAAAGCGTGGTCCGAATGGGACGGTGAGAGACTCGAAAGCCATAGAGAGGGAGATACAAGGTAAACATCCCGAAAGCAGGCGCTAAAACCCGCCGACGGAGGGGCGGCACGACCTGGTGTTCACTGCCTGATTATACTACAGACTCGTTCTTGTACCTATACAATGGCGACGTGAATGGCCAAGATGCCGTATAAGCGAGAGTTGACTGATTCATTCTGTCACTCGAGGAATTAACACTGTTACGGAGTGGTAAGCGGGAGGAGGGCGAGAGAGGAGGTGTATATTCCATAGCCCTGCAGGTGAATACGTGAGGAGTGTTTTAGGGTGGGCAGGATTGGGTAGAGGCGTAGCCCACACGCGCCAGGGGGGCAAGTATGTGATATATATGGTTATTTTCATCGAGTGGCGAGAGAGAGATAGTTAAGTGAGAGCACACGACCACACATACGGCGCATCTTGTCGCTGGAACCTCCATTGCGCCTCATGCAACTGCATATGGTTGTGAGCACCTGAGTTTGCTGCTAGAGCGCTCAGCGAGTATCCAATGATATTTTGCTATTGTATATGTACGCAGATTGACGAGGAATCCAATCGCATATATATAATTGTACTGACTCCTCGGTATGTGACGTGAGATAAATGTAAGTATTTTACACCAGAACATCCACTCAGAGTTAATAGGCGTGCCACCCTAGATCGTAAGACAGCCCACATGTCGAGATGAGATGAATCCTTGTCAGCGATGGAGAGACCTGTGAGAGAGAGACCATCGTAAAGTCGGCGTCTGCGTGACCGAAGGAGCATACGAGTACAACACGCGGATTACACCATTATAATCGAACAGATCAGACAAGCAACGCACTCCACACACAACACAGTCGGTCCACAATCTGCGAAACATGGTGTGGGACCAATAAGAGAGAGCCTTTATACAGGCCACGTAGATGAAAACGCTCGTAGCCTCACCGCCTATGGACACGACAAAATCCACATATAGAAACCAGATAAGGCAACAAACTACAGAATGGCCGCACTCCATATATACAGCTCACTCGCAACAACACAATGAGAGATATACCACGAGAGCTAACAGAGCATATCCACCGAGAGAGAGAGACGGCAACAACACACCACAAACAACCAACACACCACCACACACCACACCAACAACACACAACACAACCAACAGCTGCCACTCCACCACCAACGTGCACCTCCACCAACAACACCACAACAACGCATCTCCACCAAACAACAGCGCCACCTCCCCACCACAACAACAAGCGCCACCTCCCCCAACAACAACCCGCGCACACCACCAAGTAGTGCCCCCACAGAACTGCCAGCAACCAACACCACCAAGAACGCCGACCTTCCACCAACAACACCATAACTGCCACCTCCACCACCAGCCAACACCACCAACAACAACGCGCCAGCCTCCACACCACCCAACATTGCCAACACCAACAAACACCACCAACAACACCACCAACACCACAACAACAACACACCAACACCACAACAACAACCCACCACCACAACAACAGCGCCACTCCACCACCAACAGTGCCACCTCCACCAAACAACACCAACAACAACGCAATCTCACCAACAACAGCGCCACCTCCCACCAACAACAACACCAAACACCAACACAACCTCCAAGCCTCCCACCAACAACCACCAACAACGCCACCTCCACCAACCAAACACCACAACAGCCAACACCACCAACAACAGCGCAAAAAACACATCCACCACCACACCCAACAACAACGCCACCCCACCACCAACACAGCGCCACCTCCAACCAACAACAACGCCACCTCCACCAACAACAACGCACCTACCACATCACCACAACAACGAACAGCATGCCACCTCCAACCACCAACACACAACCAAACAACAACAACGCCACCTCCACCAACAACACCACAAACCAACAACAATGCCACCACCAACAACAGCGCCACCTCCACCACCATCACCACAACCAACACACCACAAACAACGCCACTCCCACCAACAACAATGCCACCTCCACCACCAACAACAACACCTCCACCAACAACGCCAACAGCAACAATAACAACAACATCAACAGTAACAACACCTCCGCCCACCACCAAACAACAACAATAACATCACCACCTCCACCACCAACAGACCACCTCCACACCACCACCAACAACAACAACAGCCTGGAAACCTCACCTGTTGGA